TCTTTAAATATTTTAAATACATGTAAGAATTTTGTTTGAAGTTGAAGGATGCTAAATGGATTAAAGTATTGCTCACAGGGTACAGGCATTAAGTCGCTTGACATTGTGGCAGTGTTTAAAAATAAGTTGCAATTTCTAGGTTAAAAACAAAAAGATATAAATATATGACTTCCAGTGAAAAAGAGGGAAAACACAGAATTATATTAAAATATAGTACAAAAGAAAATAAACATAGCAGGTATCACGAACACAGCAAGTCAATAAATCCAGTCCCAAATACACCCATTATAATATTCAACAAAATAGACTAGTCACTCCGATTAAAGGCAAATATTACTTGACTATATATAGTGGAATAAAGATAAATTAACCATAAATTACCTAGTACAGTGATATATTAAATGTAATAGAATTTATGGTAAATCATTTTGCCATTGTAATTACTATTGCTTTTACATCCTTGCTGTACAGTTTTGCAGCATTACTGCTTGATAAGCAGAATCTGTCACACACAGAAAAACAATCACACCTTTAGGAGTTTAGATAATGTATTATGTGAGTATATACTGTCAATTTCTTGTAATGTTACTTGTGGGCCAAGATGGCCAGGGGCAGACCTGTGTTATTTCTAGTTAAATGATTACAAGCTTGCTTTGCTTTTTATACACTGAGATTCATGCCACGGATCAAATACTGAATTTTAAAAACTCCAAACTATGGTGCAGTAAAATTAAGATTAAGACCTGTAAAAACAGAAACCAAGCAGGAACAAGTGGCCTACGGTGAAGACCATCTGAGAGCACTTTAAAACCACAGAACGCAGCGGTGTAGGTGCAAGGCAGGAAGCAGGCTTTGGTCCCATGACCTCTTCCCAACATAGAGTCTGCATGAGGGTCCCGTAATGAGGGCTTGTGTAAGAACTCTGGGAAGGAATGGGACCCCTGCTCACAAGACTCCAGAGGGTCTTTGTAGGAGAAGGCCTTGCAGGGCAGAGATAACTGCACCACCACAGGCTCTGCCTAGGTTCTCAGAATATGGCGTAACTGATTCTGTATCCACAATGTTCGGGAGATGACAGCCCCTTGATGCACTGTGTGTGATCAGAACTGGTGGTGCCCTATCCGCTGTGGTCCTATGCAGATGCACCTTCGTAATCATCGGTGGTAATATTCAGTGTCCTACATTAGCACTTCTTACAAGAACCACATTTGCTACTGAATGCTGCAGACCCACGCTCTCCCGCACCGCACCCCGTCTTACCCCACAATAGCTTCTAGTTGACCCTTCTCACCTCCCCTCACCACAGCCCGAGAGATTAACAAGATAATGCACCTAATAAAAGCGTGTGGAGCCCAGAGCTCAGGGCTAACGCGGTCCCCACTCTCGTGTCGGTCCCCTGGACCCTACTGTGGAACTCTACCCCTCGTCACTGCCAGGACTAAGGTCACCCACATACAGGGTTGGGGCTGGCACCCAACAGTCACTGTTTTGTAATTGTGTTTACAGTTCCATAGAGATGAGTAAATAGATGAGCCCCGAACACACACACGACCCATGGACTTCTGAGAAGATGAAGGGATTTTAAAATTGCTCATCGAGGTAATGCAAATCCTGGATAGGCTGGAGTCTCTGCTGGTGAGAAAAAAGAAACTGATGGTTGGGAAACCTGCGCTGGCTGCTGCAGAGATGTTCACCGTGAACAGTGGGATTATTTAAAAAGAACCGAAAGCCGAAAGAGACAGTGAGAAAAGATACAAAGGCAATCACTAGAAAAAAAGATGGTTTTGGTAGCCTGGATTCAGGGAGAGGTCCAGGGAGACATGAGTCCTGTGTATGTCCTGGACCTGTTCACTGCCTGTAGAGATGAAAACCATGAAGCCACTGGCCCAGGGCATGATCCTCAAGCACAAAACACCAGGGAACGGGGACAGTGCTGCCTGTGTCACTCCAGTGCGTCAGGATAAACAAAACAACAGCATCCCAGACATCTTGTTTTTGTGTGAAGTTACTTTGTTTGCTAGTCAAGTACACAAAAAATAGTATCAAAATTTGGAGCATCTACCACAGGCACATGTGCCCACGGGGAGTTCCTGGTACTGATCGGGGTCACCTGGAAGACACTGAAGAGACAGGCGATGCCAGTAAACACAGCCGTGCTCACTCCGCGAGCATGTCAGCATCCAAAATCACCCAGGGAATGTTTCCATCCCAAATCTGTCACGGTCTGCGGAACTCCTCCAGAGAGGAGGAACAAAGTGACTGCAGTCGGGCACTTGGTAATCAACTCTGCAGAACTTAACCTGCACCCAGTGAACTATAGGAAGAGACACTGGCAAAGGGACAAAAATTCCCCAGATGCCAAGGGCCACCTGTATAAGACTATTCCTAGTGTGAAGTCTTGGCAGACGTTCTGTCAGTTCCCACAGACTGACACTACCCTCAGAGCCACGGGATTCTGCAGAACATGAGACATGAGCTACATTTAAAATGTCAAACAAAATCCAATATTCTGCACTGACCATTGTTTCACCATTAGAAATGTTACTTGATGTTTTTCAGTGATTAAAAGGTTCCCCATATGTAAACGTATACCATTTAAAGTGTCCCCGCAACCATGCGCTCACTTTCTATTCTCCACAAATCTATGAGGTAGGTGCTGCCATTATCACGATGAGAACTTAAACATCGAGAGGGTCAGTGATTTGTCTAAATTCAGACACGGGGTAGGAGTAGAGTGGGAACTTGATCCTGTCTGAAGCCAAGGAGTGCCTTTAAATGACATGCTCTATTATGATTTGTGATCATCTGCTATTAGGTTTTCAGACGTGAGCACATCACATACTCTTCCCCTTTCTCACTGTAAAAGTTACCTTATAACATTTCAGATGTCTACTTATGTAAAGTTACAGGTTTCAGGTACTATCTCTACCTGGTAACAGACAGTGTTGACTATCTGTGTGGTTAAGGGAAAGTGTTAAGAAACCCAGCAACTCACAGTAAAAAAAGACCACTTGAGCCTACAGTGAGTGCAACCAAATCATGCTGACGTTAGCGTCCATATTAATCTAGGAAAGGGAAGCAGAAATTAAATTATTCTTCTATAAGCAAACTTCCCTGAGTCCTTCCCCCTCCTGTGGAATGGTATCCTGCTTTACAAGTTTTATAAGTTTATAAATTCTAATTTTCCATAGCCGGTAACTCTAAGTTTCTGTAACACAGCAAAGATGATGAGAAATGCCTAAACAGACCAGACTCCCGCCTTCTAGGCACTGTAGTGGAGGGCAACAGATAAGGCCCGTGTTAGAACCCTTGAGCTCTACAGATAATAAGCATCAGTGCTGCATAGCAAAAGTCATATGTAAGCCCGAGTTATGTGCCTGTCCTTGCTTAATAAGCGGTCTTTTCTCTGCACCTGCAAACTTGTTTTTCCCATCACTGTGTACTTCGTATATAAAAGGTGAAGCCCCGTCTTTGTTCAGCAGTCAGCCATTTTGGATTCGAATCTGAGCTGAGCCGGTGTGCACCTAAAATTCAATCCTTCTGCAACCTCACTGGTCTCTTCGGTCTCTTGAATTCCACAACAATATGAAGGTCATTTTGTCTAAGTTCATCAAGCCTTGTGATTATATCTTTAGCATGCCGGTAAGCAGCGATGCTGAGGAAAGCCCACGCTGGCTGGGAGTTTTGCATTGAGAGAGGTATTCTCCCATCCTTTGGGAGGGGATAATATAAAATGATTATTTCCCTTCTCTTTGCTCATCTGCACCTAAACCGTGAGGATCTATGGATACGCACCTCATTAGAAAAGTGCATATAACAGCAGCAAGAAAAAAAGTTCCATAGAAAACACAAGGGTACTATGTTTCCTACACAACAGTCACTTGTGAGGCAACTGTGTGAGATTCCCAATTCTCTCCAGAATGGAAGTCTCCTTGCACGCGCGCGCACACACACACACACACACCCGTGTCCTCACCCAAATCTCACCGACTTGTAATAATCCCTATGTGTCAAGGGCAACACCAGGTGGAGGTAACTGAATCACGGGGGCGATTTCCCCCATGCGGTTCTCACGATAATGAGTCTCATGAGATCTGATGGTTTTATAAGCATCTGGCACTTCCCCTGCTTGTACTTCTTTCTGCCACCTTATAAAGGTACCTTGCTTTCCCTTCACCTTCTGCCAGAATTTTAAGTTTCCTGAGGCTTCCTCAGCCATGCTGAACTGTGAGTCAATTAAGCCTCTTCCCTTTATAAACTGTCCAGTCTCAAAAATTTCTTCATAGAGAATGAACTAATACACTGTATATATACAAAATAACACTATATAATATACAGCATTATAAATGAAACCAGGGTACGCAAATTTCTTTCAACACAGATGCAGAAAGTCTCGAAAGATACAAAACTAAATTTACCAACATATTAAAAAAACATACTTCATTACCAAGAGAGATTTAACCCCCCAAAAAAGCAATGTTGTTTTTGCATCTCGAAGTCAATTTGGCTGGACACAGTGGCTCACGTCTGTAATCCCAACACTTTGAGAGGCCAAGGCAGGAGAATCACTGGAGCCCAGGAGTTTGAGACCAGCCTGGGTGACAAAGTTAGACGCCATCTCTTATTTTAGGCAAGTCAGTTAATGTAATATACCATGTTAACAGAATAAATTTCAAAACCACGAGATCATTCAAACAGATGCACAAAAGCCAAAAGACAAACTTCAACAACACTTGACAATAAAATATTCAATAAATAATGAACAGCAGGAAACTTTCTCAACCTGCTTTAAGGCATTTGTTTTTAAAACCCTCAGCTAACATCATACATGATGGGAAGCCTGGATGCTTTCATTCTCAGATTAGACACAAGACACTTTTCTATCACAGGTCTCTCTCCTTAAGCAAATGTGACTTGTGCAAATAGCCAAAAATAGTGACACTGTAAAGAACAGATGAAAATAATTCACAAGAATATACTCTATAATAAATTTTACACACTTACAAATTGACAGCAACTCTTTATTAGCAAAGAAAATAAACTTTTTTTTACACACAAAGAGAATAGTTTTTGTCAAGTAAAATATGGAACATATCTATAGTGGTTGAAAAATATACAAATCCTGCCATATATAGCCAGTAAAAAAATCCCAGCAATTCACAAAGACTCATTTATCAATGGCCAATTAACCAAACAGCTATATAAACTTACATATACATGTCAGAAATACATTTCACACACCTAGTATGGAACCCACAAAATTTTTTAAAAATGGCTATGCAAGAAAAAAAGGAAAAGAAGGAAAATGAACATGTCCAACACACTTTAGGTAGAAAAATAAAATTTATTTACTAGTTTTAAAATAAAAATACATATTTAACTCTTGTACTGTTGCTTGAAAAGTACTTACAGAAGTCTCACCTCTATGTTTGTTTGCAAAGTAAGTGAAAAACTATATTCTAGAGACTCTCTTTAAAAATGAGAATTGATCAATTCAACTCATTTATAGCTCCTAAAACATCTCATTCACGTAGTGAATTTTCTAGAGAATTGTACTATAATTAATTTGCAAAAGCTTTCCATATTACTTACATTTACAGAATTTATTTCCAGCAGGAGTTTTCACATAACTTTTAAAGTAACTGCTAAAATTTGCAATTTTATGTATTTCCCCAGCTACTAAGGTTTCAATCTGGGGGGCATTCTTTTATTTATAAGGTCAATTTGCAGTATGTGTTACCATAGGCCTTTGAGTAAGTTACAGGATAAATGCAGGTATTCCCACATTTGAGACATTCAGGAAGTTTTTCTCCAGAATGCAGGTGTTTTTATACCATCAAACGCCTGTATTGCCACATTTTATACATTCGTAAGGATTTCCTCCAGCGTGAGTCCTTTCAAGTTTTTAGAAAGAAATGGAAAAATTAAAGGCTTTACCATACTGCTTATAGGGTCACAGGGTTTATCTCCAGTTTGATTCCTTTCATGTATTTGAAGAAATCTGGGAAAGTTAAATACCGTCCTACACCTTACACTCACAGTTTCTCTCAAGCACGTGATCGTTCATGTTTTTGACAAGAACTGAAAGGATTGAAACCTTCACGTTTTTTTACATTTATAGGGCTTTTCTCTAATATGAGTTTTTTTATGTTTCCAAAGGGTACTAGCACGACTAAAGGCTTTACCACATTTCTGACATTCATAGGGTTTCTCTCCAGTATGAGTTCTTTCATGGTTACGAAGGTAACTGGAACATCTGTAGACTTTACCACAGTTCTTACACAAATAGGGTTTCTGTGCAGTATGAGTTTTTCATGTTTCTGAAGGGAACTGGAGTATCTGAAGGCTTTCCCACATTTCTTGCATGCATAGGGTTCTTGACCAGCATGAGCCTTTATATGTCCCTGCAAGGAACTGAGACAACTTAATGCTTTGCCACACTCCACACATACATAAGGCTTCTCTCCGGTGTGGGTTCTTTCATGGTAGTGAAGGCCATTGGAATAGCGGAAGGCTTTCCCACACTGCTTACATTCATAGGGTCTCTCTCCAGTATGAATTCTGTCATGGTCATGAAGGTGACTGGAACGACTGAAGGCTTTACCACATTTCTTACATTCATAGGGTTTTTCTCCAGTGTGAATCCTTTTATGTCTGTTAAGAGAACGGGAAAACCCGAAGGCTTTCCCACATTCCATACATTCATTGGGTTTCTCTCCAGTGTGATTTCTCTGATGTATTTGAAATAAACTGGGAATATTAAAAACTTTCTCACATATTTTACAGCTATAAGGTCCATTTCCAGTGTGCACTACTGTCTCTCTCTGAACCCTTGTGACAGAAAGGGAAGTTTTCTGACACTGGTTATGTGTACATGGCTGCTCTCTGCTTTCCTCACAGCTATGTGGGTTGTTTCCAGAGTGAGATATGCTGTGCCTATGAAGGGATGAACGACATGGAGAATTCTTCACACACACTGCATTCACATGGCTTTACTCCAGTAGGCACTTGTTCATTCAGATTACAATCTGGCATCTGGCTGAAGGTTTTTCTACACTAATTTATTTAATTTTACACAGTATCTCTATCAAATGACTTCTACAGAAAATGACAACCCCATCATTAATGGTTTATTAATTATTTTCCTTTATTACCAAATCTGAACTGACATTGCTACCAATCAGAGAAAGTGCAAGTTTTCTACCATAAACAAACTGAACATAAATGCACTGACTAGTCTGCAACGTGGCTCCCTCCCTTATAGCTATTAACAAAAGTCATATTCTTATATGCAGTTTCTTAGTACTGAATACAGTTTGGGTATCTACTCCTTTCAAATTTCATGCTGAAAGTTGATCCTAATGTTGGAGGTGTGACCTAGTGTGAGGTCTTTGGGTCATGGGAGCAGATTCCACATAAGTGACACTGTAGTGATCATAGTGACTTTTTACTCCATTAGTTCCTAAAAGATAATTGTTCAAAAAAAAAAAAAAAAAATGGCCTGCACAGTGGCTCATACCCATAATCCCAGCACCTTGGGAGGCTGACGTGGTTGGATCACTTGAGGTCAGGAGTTTGAGACCAGCCTGGCCAACATGGCAACACCTCATTTCTACTAAAAATACAAAAATTAGCTGGGTGTGGTGGCGTGTGCTTGTAGTCCCAGCTACTTGAAAGGCTGAGGCAGGAGAATTGCTTGAATCCAGGAGGTAGAGGTTGCAGTGAGCCAAGATTGCACCACTGCACTCCAGCCTGGATGACAGAGTGAGACTGTGTCTCAAAAAAAAAAAAAAAAAAAAGTTTGGCACTTCCTCTCTCTTGCTCTTTCTCTCCCCATGTGACATGTCATCTCCCCTTCCCCTTCTACCATAATTGGAAGCTGTCTGAGGTCCTCAGCAGAAGCAGATGCTGATTCTATCCTTCTGATAACGCCTGGAGAACCATTAGTCAAATAAAACTCTTCCTTATAAATTACTCAGCCTAGGTATTTTTTTATAGCAATGCAAGTAGACTAAAAACACAGTTTCCAAGTGAACTATTTTGCAAACACTTATAATCCATGTTACATTAAAGCATATATTTTTGGTAAAATCTTTGAGAATAAATTGATTTGTCCTTAATTTTTTTTGTTTGCTTCCCTCCCCCGCAATCTCCAGATGGTGTTTTGCTCTCGTTTCCCTGGCTAGAGTGCAATGATGCAACCTTGGCTCATTGCCAACCTCCGCCTCCCAGATTCAAGCAATTCTCCTGCCTCAGCCTCCCAAGTAGGGATTATAGGCATGCGCCACCATGCCTGGCTAATTTTTTATCTTTAGTAGAGACGGGTTTTGCCATGTTGGTCAGGTTGGTCTCAAACTCCTGACCTCAGATGATCCACCTGCCTCAGCCTCCCAAAGTGCTAGGATTACAGGCATGAGCCACTACACCTGGCCTTGTTTACTTGTTTTAAACATATGATTACAATACTACAATTGTCCCCAAGGTGGACTGCTGCTTCTTGTGAGTACAAATTACCTTAGATTTCTCCAGGACTTTTTGTACCGATCTTCAAAGCTCTGGTCTTCCCCTTTGTTTCCTAAAATGTAGACCCAGAAACATATTACAAATTATTTGAAATTATAGAAAAGTTACTAGATTCTAGGTGCTATGGTGGGGATATGGCTTTTACCCACCAAAAGGAATGCTGTAATTTGGTCACCAATATGGCAACATCATTTGTGTTATGGGTACAGAGTCCTTATTAATAAATAGTGTCCTTGCTTGGGAATGAATGTTCTCTCTTACTCTTGCAAGACTGAATTAGTTACCAGAGGGCAGGCTGTTACAAAGGCAAGTTTACCTTCCTTATTTTCTTGCTCTTATTTTCTCGCTGTGTGCATGCCCACTCCCTTCTGCTTCATGTCCTGAGCTGAAGCAGCATCAGGTCCTTACCAGATGCAACCTTGGACTTTCTAGCCACTAGAATCATAAACCAATATAAAATTATTTTTGTAAATTACCCAGGATCAGGTCTTCTGCTATAACAATTAAAAACAGACTAAGAAACAAGAGTCACTGCACGCTGGGTCCATGCCTTATTCATTTACCAAAGTGTTCCCTTTATACATTCCAAATAATGGAACAACACTGAAAACCATGAAACATTTACTCTGACTAAAGAAATACTGTGATTCCCATCCAAAAGTGGGCAAAGGATATGAACAGACACTTTACAAAGGAAGACATACATGAGGCCAACAAACATATGAAAAAATGCTCATCATCACTGGTCATTAGAGAGATGCAAATCAAAACCACATTGAGATACCATCTCACGCCAGTTAGAATGGAGATCATTAAAAAATCTGGAGACAACAGATGCTGGAGAGGATGTGGAGAAAAAGGAACACTTTTACACTGCTGGTGGGAGTGTAAATTAGTTAAACCATTGTGGAAGACAGTGTGGCGATTCCTCAAGGACCTAGAAATAGAAGTTCCATTTGACCCAGCAATCCCATTACTGGGTATATATCCAAAGGACTATAAATCGTTCTACTATAAGGACACATGCACACGAATGTTCATTGCAGCACTGTTTACAATAGCAAAGACCTGGAATCAACCCAAATGCCCATCTATGATAGACTGGAAAGGGAAAATGTGGCACATATACACCATGGAATATTATGCAGCAATCAAAAACGAGTTCGTGTTCTTTGTAGGGACATGGATGAACCTGGAGAACATCATTCTCAGCAAACTGACACAAGAACAGAAAATGAAATACCGCATGTTCTCACTCATAGGTGGGTGTTGAACAATGAGAACACATGGACACAGGGAGGGGAGCACTACACACTGGGGTCTGTTAGGGGGAAATAGCGGAGGGACAGCAGGGGGTGGGGAGTTGGGGAGAGATAGCATGGGGAGAAATGCCGGATATAGGTGAAGGGGAGGAAGGCAGCAAATCACACTGCCACGTGTGTACCTATGCAACTATCTTGCATGTTCTTCAAATGTACCCCAAAACCTAAAATGCAATAAAAAATATATATAAATTGAGGGGGGAAAAAAAAGAAATACTGTGATTCTTACCTATAGAAGCCAGGTTCCTGAAGGTTTCCTGCATCACATCTCTATAGAGATTCTTCTGGGAAGGATCCAACAAAGCCCACTCCTCCTGGGTGAAGTTCACTGCCACATCCTCAAAGGCGACAGGGTTCTGAAACAGTCCACGTTTCGGTAGAGGAGGATGGATGAGACTGAGAACACTGGAAATCTATAGTCAACTCATAAGATGTTCACCTGACTCTGTGGTGAACATTTAGTTATTCCACAGCTTAGTCATGAGAACTACGACTCTGCCTACACTTACTTTCTCCCACACAGCAGGTTAAAGTTGAATTAATCAGCAAGGCAGCAGCAAAGGAATACCCTTTTTATTGGTGGACCCAGGGAGTAATATTTGCTGTTATAATTTTTCTTTATAGAATATACCTGTAGTACATATTATAACAAAGTCTTAGTATCTAGTATGTATAAGAGAGTTAGTATCAGCAGTCACGAGACTACTTATCCTTAGAAATACATGCTACAAAGTTCAACCTTTGCTGGTATGACGGGAACTTAATCATCCCAACAACCTAAGTGATAACTGTAGCTAAATAGTTTATCTAAGCAATCTGGTGTTTTCCTTCCAAAAGTCTATTATTTTGTTTTATTGTAGCAGTGGTGGCTAGGGGACCAGCCTCAATAAACAAACAAAACATACTCCGAGCACAGAACATCTGATGAGCTTCCCTGTAGATGACAGTTCATATATGATGTCACAACTTTTTAATTGGGAAATTGAGCCCAATCCACATGGTTACACCAAGAGAAAACATGTAGAAACTTGCAAGTGGTTCACTCAAGACCAAATCTAATCAAGAGGTAATTAAAACTAATAATATTCAATAATCCCCAAATAATTATTTTACAATTTCTACTGAAAAATGTCAAAGCAGAATAGAGTAAGTGAAAAGAAAACGTGTTCAAAGAAAAAAACTCAATGTCATCTAGATGTCACCTCTTACAAAAGATATTCATGTAAACTTTCAAAGATGCCTGAAACAGACTTTCTAGCAGGTCGGCAAAAACTACTTTTCAAAACCTACAAAAATAAAAAGTGTCTAACAACCATCACAACCTTCTGAATAACAGTGGGATGGCTTAACACCCATCAGTGATTTTCAAATATAATATTCAGGGCAGTGTAGTATAAGTAGAGAGATAAAGAAACAGGCCAAGAGAAAGGCCTCTAGTATATAAGGAGCTGGAATTGATATGGAAAGCTGACTAGTTACAGAGGAGGCACCGTAAAACAGTGGCCTAACTATCGAGGACTTTAAACATGGAACAAAGCTAACTGGTATTTAATTGAAAAAGAATGGATTGTACTGCCCTCTATTAGGTGGACAATTCAAACATAAATAGCACAACTAGACCACCTGCAGAAGTCACAGACAAGGTCTTTTTTCACAAATAGGAGAAAAGAAGTAAACAACAGACACTGACAAATTCAAATATATTAAAATTAGGGGAAATAAAACATAAAAAATAGTAAAAAACCTGCAATACATGCAATATAAAAAATTAGTATGCAGAGTCAAAATGAATAGAATAGGATTTAAAATGGGAAAATCAGCAAAAGATACATAAAAGGGAAAACAGAAATCTCTTTCTATGGAAAGAGCTCCATTTCCTTGGTAATGAAATAGCCAAATAGTACGGCATGTAGATAATAGTTCACATTCTTTAGAAGAACGAAAATTAGAGAATTTCCAATGGTGATTACCATACCAAGTAAATACACAGAAATTAGGGCAAAGGCAACTCCATTGCTATTTCTAGTAATTTGAACTTTACCACAATCTACGGTCCAGGAATTTTTCTCTCGTGTCCAGAAAATTTATTGTGCATTTTTGGAGACTGGCATATAATGACAGAAGCAGTATTTTCCTCCAAAAAAAAAAAATCTTGAAAAAGCACAACCCACTGAAATGGATGAGTAAAAGTGGATGGCACAGCCTCAGATACTAACGTGTAAAACACACTGAGGCAAGGAAACCACTGACAAACCCTTTTATTTTAATTTCATTAATATTTATTGAAAGTTCAAAAGCAAAACTAAAAACAAATGAATTGAAAAAATATGAAAAACAGCCAAAGCATCAGTAGGGTAGTCATTTGAGAGGCAAGATGAAAATAAGTCTGGGAGGTGACCAACAGTAAACTCTAAAGACTATGCAAGGCTCAGTCATAAATCATGATGACAATTTCAGTGATTTATAAATCATGATGATAATTTCAATGATTTTTTTCTTTTTTGAGACAAGGTCTTGCTCTGTTGCCCACGTTGGAGTGCAGTGGCATGACCAGGGCTCAGTCCTGCCTCTACTTCTTAGGCTCAAGCAATCCTCCCACCTTAGCCCCCAAAGTAGCTGGGACTACAGGCATGTGCCACCATTCCTGGCTAATTTTTTTACTTTTGTTGTAGAGATAAGATGTCACCACTTTGCCCAGGATGGGCAAAGTTTAAGGAGTTTTACTTCTTAAACTCCTAGGCTCAAGCAATCCTCCCATCTCAGTGTCCCGAAGTGCAGATGTTTCTAATTACTAAAAATTATGAAAAAGTTGCATTCATTCTTTCTTATACTATATAAGAAAAAAATTGAATTGTTTTAAAAAAACAACACTATTACAAAGAGTGTCCTGTAATGTGGCAATCTGAGTTTTAATTCACAGATTTGGCACAAAAGAGCAAGGCGACATACAACACTAACTCCTCAGCAAGCATCAGGTCAAAGCGCACGCTGGACGCCTGGCAGCAGAGCAGGCTGGTAAGTCAGCGCGAGAGAAGGCGGACCTACAGGGTGATGGCAATGTCTGTACATCCTGCTTCTGGTACCAACTGTTATGGTCACCTGCAGAGATGTGGCTTTGACTTTTATGGGGAGAGTAGCAGGCCTCTCAAGGTGGTTAAGTGAGGAAGAAAAAAGGCCAGGCACCGGTGTTTCTATTGAGGTTAGGTGAGAAGCTAGGATCAGAATTCACTTTTATGGGCAGGAGTTGGCATGGTGAAATCTGCTCCCGCCATTAAAGAAGGAAGCACTTAAGTTATATATTTTTTCATAGCCAGATGTGGGTCCACAAGTGGAAGAAAAAGGGTTCAGTATCAAAATTTGTCAGCAGTTAGCCATTAAAAATTGGAGACACACTTCTGGTTTCCAGTCTCACAGATAAAGACATGGAAGGTGACATTCACATCCGCAAAAGTAACAGGCAAACAAACCAAAAAAAAAAAAAATCACACTCTTAGATTCATCTGAGAATCGAACTCACAGGGCAACCCATCCTCTCAAATTTGAGACATAGATGAATCCAGATAATCACAACTTACTAAACCAGAAAATCATAAGAAATCCCTGTGGGAAGCAGTTCATGTGTATGAAAACTAAACTGTAACTGGCGAGTCGCTGAAGAATGAGACTTACAATCTCCAGGGTAGTCGGTCTTAGGCATTCCTAAAAGTTGTGAGTTTTACTTCCAAAAATTCTACTAGGCTTTTACAGTGAAGATCACAAAAAAATGGTTTTATGCTTCCAGCAGAAGGAAAATGTACTTGTTTGCAAATATGCCCATAGAATTATCTTCTTTTTAATCGTTCTGCGATAAACAGAAACTATTTCTCAAAAGCCTAACCAGCTGAGATTTTTACTGGAGCCAAACTTCCAGGGGTAAAAGAAATGCCCAATTCCATTAGCCCTCTAACCTCCTGCTTCAATAACAGAGGTAAAAACAGAGAAGTGCTTGTAAAAGTCATAACCCAGGCACACAAAGCCTTTCTAAAAATGAAACTAAACCATGACTCAATAAAACGCTTCTCCTCACACCTCACCTCACCAGCCCATCAATAAAAGCAGAATGTCAAGATGACTGACCAGATGCAGCCAAGAGGAACATCTGTCACCAAGACCAAACACTGGGAAGATGTTCAGAAGGCAGGCCTTGAGAGTGGACGGAAGGAAACACAGATGCTGGACTGAAGGGGACGGAGCTGGGAACCCTGCAGGGGGCTATTGCACAGAAGCTCATTCATGGCCCCAGTGACTCCTGAGGAGGGAGGAGGGTAAACAGGTGAGGAGTGAGCCACTCTTATCATGGGGTCCCGGAATCCTGGCAGCAGGGGACCCCATGAACACTTGAGCTGGCATCAAGTACTGCTTAGAGAGGTGGTGGGGCAGGACTCTAGGCTGCGCAGAACCCAGAGAGTTTGTGTAGAACACTGGCAGCAGAGCATGGCCAGGGCTGGCCATCCCTTAATACTGACCATGCACCTCTAGGGGACTTGAGTCTTAGGGGAACTGTTGCACCTGGACAGAACAGAGCAGTCTCGCCCATGAGACAGGACCAGTCTGATCTCAGTGGCGGCCTGTCTGTGGTGCTCCCCGGGGACCCCCACCTGGCCACCCACTTGCAGTATAGCCTCAGATGCTCAACTGGGGTGCTTCCTGGGGGCCCTTACCATAGCTTCTTCACTGTCAAACTGCACCTGACCTTGCAGAGCTAAAGCAGAGCAGACCCCACTGACACAGCCCACCGGCAGCCTGTCCCCACCACACCCACCTCCACACTGTTCTGCCAGCACACACTTGCCCATGGCCACAGTCCCCCAGGTTTGCCGGCACACACGTATGAACCACTCCCCTCCCCTGCTGGCGTGTGTACGTGCACCCCACCACACCCCTGCTGCCGACATAGGCATATGCCCTCTTGGCCATGCTGCCAATGCTGGTGCAAATTTATGCATGGGCACTGGCAAACCAAGCCCCCTGCACCTGCCGTGCAGCCACTGCTGCCAGTGTGAGTGCACACAGAGGCTGGCAGCCCCAGGCCTGTCGGCGTACCACTCCCACCACTGCCGTGGGTGTGAGTGCACACAGAGGCTGGCAGCCCCAGGCCTGTCGGAGTACCACTCCCACCACTGCTGCCGGTGTGAGTGCACACAGAGGTTGGCAGCCCCAGGCCTGTCGGAGTACCACTCCCACCACTGCCGCGGGTGTGAGTGCACACAGAGGCTGGCAGCCCCAGGCCTGTCGGAGTACCACTCCCACCACTGCTGCGGGTGTGAGTGCACACAGAGGCTGGCAGCCCCAGGCCTGTCGGCGTACCACTCCCACC